ACATTACGTGAATAAAGTCGTAACATTACGAGAATAAAGTCGTAACATTACGTGAATAAAGTCGTAACATTACGAGAATAATGTCGTAATATTATGAGAATAACATCGTAACATTACAAGAATAAAGTCGTAACATTACGAGAAAAAAGTCACAACGAGAATAGTCATAAAATTACGAGAATAAAGTCGCAATATTAAGAGAATAAAGTCCTAAAACTACAAGAAACAAGTTGTATTTTATGAAAATTCTTACAAGAAGCATTTTCTTCTCTAAAATGAGGAATGTCGAGCATAATGTGAAGTTATACTTTGGCTCTGCTTTGACAAATAAGGAAATCTTTTAGCGAACCAGCATCAAATTGGGCAGTAGGTCAAAGTGGACTTGGGTTGCTGTTGGAGCTGCTTGGCCGTCGAAGCACGAAGCTTTCTGAAACTGGTTGTTGTATGAGGATTTCATTCTCGTAATATTACAGCTTTATACTCGTAATGTTACAACTTTATTCTCATAATATTACAGCTTCATTCTCGTAATATAACAACTTTATTCTCGTAATGTTACGACTTTAATCTCGAAATATAAGAAAAAATATCTAGCCTGGCTCAATACTTTCTTTAATTGCTGATAAATGCGTAATACTAGTATCAATAAGTTTTATAACTGCACTGGCATGTAGTTTAGGTATGAGCTTAAGAAATCGAATCGGATAAAAAAGAATTGCTTCTAAATCATAAGATTTGGAATCTATCGATTCTTAAAATTTGAATGGATTTCAACCAGACAATTTCTTTGTGATGCTGACCAAAATAAAAAGTTTTTCAAGATGATGTAAAGTTAAATTGGACACTGTTGCCATTAGTTATAAAACTAAGAAAATTAAGTCTAAGGAAGTTATCATGCAGAATTGTAGAAAAATGTTTCTTTAATAGACACTTTTGCTTGAGTAAAAAGCTAAAGTTGATACTATAACCTCTACAAAAGTGTTTTTAAACAGTAGGATTTCTACTTGAGTAATGAAGATTGATACTTTTGACACCTCTGCCCTTGATCAGTGACTAAACTTTCCCAACATACAGCATAAGATGACATCCTTTAGCAGGCAGCTCCTTTCAAAGCATGGTTAGCAGGTCGGTAAAATATATAGTGATGGAATAGCAGACCTGCCTCTGTTCTCCAGCTTCTGGCATCATCACCATCACCTCTTACTGAACAAAGCCAGCTAAGTCTTCCTCCTGCAATCAAAATCACTTTAACACCAACAAATGTTGCTGCAACAACATTCTCCCAATTGTCCAGAAGAAACGTGTTTCTCCAGACAAGTGGAAGTGGAAAGTGTTGGGGCTTTTTCTCCAATTTTTTCCCTTTCTTCCGGAAGAAACTGGAAGAAAGTTCTCATTATGTTTTTGGAGAACTGGGATAGTTCCATTGAAAAGCCAACTTACTATATCCACCAGTCTACATAAGGATGAATCTTCATGAGAATAGACATAGTGAAACAAATTAAGAATTTATATAATTTATTTATTGTATGTAATACAAATATAGATAAATGAATAATTGTTGGTTACAAAACTTTTAAGTAATAACTGTGTTTAAGCACTGCATTTGCACAAGCAGAGTTGCAGCAATAAAGTAGCAAAATACAGTTGAATAGTCAAGCTCATTCTTGCCAGAAGTGATTATTTTCTAATTGACTCTAAATGGTAGGAAAATGCTTTCCTGTATAATCGGATTACACCAGCTGGCTTTCTTTTTCTTTAATTTCTTCTGCTATTCATGCCCCCACCCTGGTTTATAGATATTGAACCCCACATCAAGGTTATTACTGCATTTGGGCTGCTTAAGGCAAAATATTCACCAAAAGAAACAAAACTTTCCAGTAAATTTGATCTTCTTTCTTACGGCCAAAAAAACAAAAAAAAACATGGAAAAATCCTGGAAAAAAAAACGCCATCCAGAAGAAACTTCCAACCCTGTTGCAAATCCAGCTGTTTGTCAGGGGTGATGTGTTTATTGATCAGGTGAAAAAAATGGATTATTGGGTTTCTGGGCTCAGTTAGAGCTGGTGAAGCTCAGATCCAGAGCTACTGTTAGAGCATCAGTGGGGATCTCTAGTTGTAGCTTAGGTCATCTGCTAGCAGAACACTTATTGTTTATCCATTTAGCAGACAATTTTATCCAAAGCGACTTGCAAAATAGACACAGTGTTGCAGTTATCAATACGACAATAAGTTCTCTAAAAGAAAATTCCAATAAAGTTTAAAAAACAAACAAACACTGGACTTTGTTTCCAAGTTTGAAGATGTTTTGCTTCCCATCCAGGAAGCCTTTTCAATTCTAAATGTCAGAAATGGCTATGGGTTTGAGGCTTTATGGAGTGGACCAAAAACAAAGCCTTGTTTTGGCTTAGAAAACATGCAAATCTAACCAGACAGATGAGTATGCCCCTTAGGAATGGGGTTCGGTTGGATTCTTTGTTAGCCTGCAATACCCAATACCATGTCTATGTCTGTGAAAGGTGGGAATTGTTGGCCTGGCTGAACAGGCAAGGTTTTCTTTAAAGGAAAATCCCTAGTTTGAATCAGTGGTGACAGCAAAGAGAGAGAGAGGGAAGTGCAGAAAGAGTAGTAGAGGGGTACAGAAGTATGAGTAAGGGTTACGATAAGAGATGCTCTTTCAAGAGGTCGTTCTTTAAGAGTTTCCCAAAGATTGAAAGGGACACTGCTGCTCTTTTAGCTCTTGGTAGGTCATTCCACCATCTTGAAACAACACATGAAAACAGTCTGGATTTTCCTAAGTGTGGTTTAGGCACTGCTAGACGACCATCCATTGCTGACCAGAGTGACCGAGTTGTAGACGGGAGCTGTACCCTTAAGCACTTTTTAGGCTTGCATCAGGGACTTGAATTTGATGAGGGCAGCCAGGGGTAACCATTGTAGTTCAATTAACAGAGGGGTGATTGAAAACCAGATGCGCCGCCGCGTTCTGGATCATATGTAACGGTTTTACAAATGATCCAGGAGACCAGTCAGGAGTACGTTACAAAACTTGACTCAAAAGGCTGATTTATACTCAGAAAGCATGTCGTCTGTGGGTGTGTCGCAGTTAACGCAGATATGCCCCCGCCCCTTCTGCAGACACTCTGCTGCACCTCTCCAAAATTGTAGGTGACCGCAGACAAGGAGGCCTCTGATTGGTCAAATCTCCATCTGCTCTACTCTATGCGTATTTCCTGTTTGGTACCTTACCGGCCTGTTTTATTTGAATGACCGCCATTGTGGAAATCGACTCGTGAAGATGGACCAGGTAGAAGAGCGAGGTGCATGAGAACGCTGGGACCCTTTTTCCACCTGGATCCTCGCTCTTTTTCGCCCTCATGTTCCTCCGTTGTCGCATAAACTTGCCCCAACTTCTTCACCGCCTCAGCTGTATCTAGACCTACAGCTAGTTCGTGATTCTCCCTCTTGCATTGTGGCGTGGAATAACATAGTGCAGACCACGCTTCAATATTGGGCATAAATCAAAAAATAAATGTGACAAGCGCACTGCGACACACTGCTGCAGGAGTATAACCAGCCTTTTAGACTGTCAGTGTTATGTTTGGTTTTAAGTTCCACCAAAGAAATGACAGCAGAGTGGTATTAAAACCAATTCATCTGGAATCGATAGTATTTGTCTAAAGCTAAAAAAAAAAGACATAATCGAACCAGTACTTGGTCCTTTCCTGTCTGCTGCGCAGGTCTGTAGTACAATAAGAGCCGATGGGAATTGGTAAATTCTTCCACTTCCATCACCAACCTCTACCCAGACGTAACTTGTTAAAAATAACCCAAATAGACTCTGAGAAATTGTAGTAAAAACTGCTTTTCTCTTTACTTCAGGGTTTCAAATAAGCCTGTCTGGAGTTCCTACAAGTAAGCGTTAGACTTTCACTCAAAACACTCTACTCTTTGTTGGAACACGTCAGTAGTCTAAAGTGGTTTCTGTCCCTCATTAAGAGTCACCCTTTAGATACTGCTGGCTGCAGCCTAGCCACTGGTCTGTGCTAACATCCAGTTGGATGGGTCAAACAGGTTTAGATGGGACCACTGTACACTACTGAAAGAGTCTGTGTGGTGTTCTGGTAGTTTGGGAGTCTGTCCGCTATTCCCTGCCTAACTCTGACACCATTCAGCCATAGCCACCACACATTTTCCTTGCACTGGGACTCAAAAGGTAAAGGGATTGTTTGCACTCTAGCTGGTTGGACAAGGCATGGCAATAAGGACCCAGCACTTAACTTCAGCACCTTAAAGTAATACACTCCCACCGGTGGCCTTAAAGTCGCCTGAATCCATTCAAACCCAAATGTTTGCTCCTTGAATGGGACCAAAGTGCTGTTTGAGTGGTGGGAACCCTTCATATCTACATGGAGCTGTTGGGGTTCTTGCATATTTTAATCAAACAGGGATTTCCAATGTCGGCAACTATTTCATTGCATCCCAGTCTTTCCTAATAACACAAACACACACTGCATGCTTTTTTTGTTTGGAAGCAACAAGCTTTTTTGCTTTAGTTTTTGAACATTGGGAAACTCTGTGGAAACGGACTCTTTGCTTCTGTTCAAAGACTCATTCTATTCTTCTTTTGCTCTTCAGATGACTTTAAATCTTTCTCATACTGTTATCTCCTATTGGACATATTGTTTGAGCTTATCTAAAGTGGGTTAAACAAATCGAGACTAATTTTTTGGTGCCCTGTTTACAGGTACATCTTAGTACATTAGAAGATCCCCAAAATGTTAATTTATTTTAATATAGTGTATTTCTCTTTATTGTTTGTATTTTATGAAGAGCAACTTTTTTGTTTCTGATAAAAATTACAAAAGGCTATAAAACATGGATTATATTTGATTTTATTGGGTTTTTACTACCTGTAATAAACCCTCATTCATTCTCTGAGCAATGAAGAGTCTGTATTCTAATGTACTGGGCTGTACCTGTGTAGCTTGCATCTGTCCCCCACCCCCCCGAAGGTGTGCATGTTGTTGCAATCTGGACGTGTTTCTCCCTCTGCCCACCAGGTAAACGTAAAGCTCTGAAGTTGAATTTCGCCAACCCTCTGGTGAAACCGGCCTCCAGGCTCCCGCTTCATCCCTCGGCTCCTTCCTTCCAGAATCCCCACATGTGAGTAAAGACAGTCAGGGTAGGAAGTCATGGGTCACTTTATTTATTTATTTTTTTCCCCTTTCTTCACTGATTGAACAGCTTCTTATAATGTAACTAAGAAGGATAAAAGAAAAACAAATGTTAAGTCATAACATTATGAGTATAAATTTGTAACATTATGAAAATAAAGTCGTAACATTATGAGAATAAAATCGTAAAATTACGAGAATAAAATTAAGAGAATAAAGTTGTTAAATTATTAGAATAAAAGTCGTAAAATTACGAGAATAAGAGTCGTAAAATTAAGAGAATAAAATCGTAAAATTACGAGAACAAAGACGTAAAATTACAAGAATAAAGTCGTAAAATTACTATCTATCTTTACGAGAATAAAGTCACAACGAGAATAGGCATAAAATTATGAGAATTTAGTCGTAACATTTAACGGAATAAAGTAATAAAATTACGAGAATAATGTCTTAAATCAAGAGAATAAAGTAACAATACAAGAAGAAAGTCGTAAAATTATGAGAAACAAGTTGTATTTTATGACAACTCTCACAAGAAGCACTGTGTTCACTAAAATGAGGAATCAAGCATAATGTGAAGTTATAATTTGGCTCTGGTTTGACAAATAAGGAAATCTTTTAGCACCATCATCAAATTGGGCAGCATGTCAAAGTGGACTCAAGTTATTGTTTGGTGGTGCTGGTCGGCCGTTATCATTTGGTCTGAGATAGAAGCTTTCTTTCTGAAACGGGTTAGTGCATTATGACTTCATTCTCGTAATATTACGACTTTATTCTCGAAATAGTTTTTTCTCGTAATATTACAACTTTATTCTAAACAAAATAAAATAAATTATCTAACCTGGCCCTAATACTCTGTCGTACTGAAAGGAAATATTGAATCAATGTTATCTTCCCCCTTTTTTTTTTACCCAACTAGTTTGAATTTTAAATGATAGAGTTAATAACTGCTTCCTGTTTCCACTACCATAGCACTTATTTCAGGCCATAAAAGGGAACCTGTTGTCTTTTAGCTCAGCCAGAATAATAGAATCAGATGAAAATAAAAGAAACTGATTTAGCTGGTTTTGCTTTTATACCTTTAGTTAATGAAAAGAAAACTGTCTGGTCTTTCAACTCCACCTAGTGTTTATACATTCAGGTTAAACTGCTTTATTTGAAGCAGTATTTATAAATAGAAGTTTGTAATGGTTAAAAGCTAATTCTTTAATTAAAGTTGGTGACTTTACAATAAAGCAAATGTTTTCATTTGTGTAGATAAACTGTCTCTATGAACCAAGTTCCCCAAAGGGAACTCAAAAGTTATTTACATACAATGATATGGCTTTAAGCTGCCTCTTGCTGTTTAAACTAAACTTTTTTGCTGTTTGTTTTAAAAACTGATAGGACTGAAGCAAGGGTACAGATTATGCACTTGAACCATATTGATCGTCATTAAAGTCACGAGTGAAACTAAAACTTGAGGATTTTTTTTGACAATTTCGGTATAAGTGAGTTTCTCTTTCAGCTAAAGACATGTTTTAGAGTCTATATACTCCAGTTAACTATTCATAAATTCCTAAATTAGATGTAAAAAAGGCCTCTGAAGTCGTCCATGCCTCTGAGCCTCCCTTCTAGTTCTTTTCCTGGGGGGAATCTACTAGGTTTAACCACTTTTATTTTAAGGCTTTGAAAATCTATAAAAAGCAGGAGTGAATAGTTAACAGAATTTATTCCAGATTAAATCGTTTCAGAACAGAGAAATTGCAGCGAGCCGGCACAGCTGAGCTCCAGTCATCAACACGCAATGGCATCCAAAAATGTGCCCCAAACCAGGTCGTCTCTTGCCTCCTATACTTCATCAGTCTTTGTTGCATCAGGTGGATGCTTAGCTATGCGTATCAGTTCCTGACTCCCCGTCGGATCCGGACCTCATTCTCTGCTGCATCTACTCCTCAGGATTACAGACGTGTTCTTCTTTATCTCTCTGACCTCTGGAATGTTCCGTTATTTTTGTTTATAGTTCAGACAGAAAGCTTATAGTTCAGACAGAAAGCCTGTCATTAGATATCTTCTGTGAACACACAGTGTTACACTATGTGAAGGAAGACTATGTACTTTATCTCCTCTGCTTAACAGATGGGTAATATAGCAAACACATATAGAGTAATGAAGAATAATCCTAACATAGTTGACAATTATTTTGATAATAGATTTATTGCATTTTCTCCAATTATTGTTACCTTAAAGCAACACTCGCACCCCAATATTAGCTTAAATTGAGATATAGGCCGTTTCTCAATATGTGTACTTGTGCGTTCTTGTGTGCTCGTGAAACGTCATCAGCCTCAGCCCTAGCACTGTTCCAATTCACAAGAACAGCAGACCGAGAACGGACAAAGTCCCAGGATGTTGTTCTTGCGCCTCCCTATTTACCCAGCATGCATCAGAGCAGAGTAGTCCGTTCTTGAGATCGCCAGCTGTCCCAGCATGCAGTGCGGCAGCAACAGCTTTCAATGGAGCGCTCCATTGAAAGTTAAAAGTTCTCTTTTCTGTTGCTGTTGTTCAATAAAAGTATGTTTTAAGATAATTTGAGGCGAGAATATTATACTTTAAAGCGACACTATATGGTCCATTTACTGATTTAATGCGTAATTTTAAAAAGATTTCTGAAGTTGAGAGGACCGCGGCAACCAGCGAACCTCTGAAGCTAACGGCAGCCAGGGCTAACTGCACCCCGTCTGCAGCAGCCCTCTCTCTGCATAGCCGTGTGTGAAAGACCGCTGGCTCTGATGGCGATTTTTTTGTTTTATTTGGCAAAATGTTCATTTGATTTGTATTTATCTGACTGTGTTAATTATTATTCCCCCACAAAATGAAAAAAGTATTTAGTATTATCTAGAGACTAATAATAACAGGAGGTGAAATGCAGCTCCAGACAAACCGAGCGTGTGGTCACATCACGAGTACGCTCTGTTCCAGTTGAACCATATTTATGCTGCTTGCTCTCGTTCTCGCTGAGTCCATACTTTCCTGTGTCCTTCTCAAGAACGTACTTGGCGAGGACACAAGTCCGTACTCGCGTTCTAGTGAATTGAGAAATGGCCATAGTAAATCCTTTTTCATTTCAGTGTACGTCATTAGGTGGTATTGATGCTCTCTGCATGCCCTCTCTGCTAAAAAACTCAGCTGTTATTTTAGAAGGTCTGATTCATCACTGAATAAGTCATGTGATCCAGAGCGCCGCTTTGTGCTCGTCTGAGCTCCTCTTAAACGTGAAAGCGAACTAAGCTATAAGTGGTTGTTGCCCAACAAAATGACAGCAAAATATCAGGAAACTTCCCTGATCATTATCAGATTTAATCTAGATGGATGAAAAACTAACCTAAACCTGGAAGTTACAGAAAAGTGTAAGTGTTGCTTTAAAAAAACTATTTGGTTTTCCTGTGGTGTTTTTTTTTTTTTTGCTCCACAATTTTCCTCTGCAAAAAAAAAACCAAACTGCTTTACTTCTGTTTCTAAAGAAGCTGTGTCTGCTTCTGTCTCCTTGAACCCCAGTCAGCCTTGGCAGATGGCCGCTCACACTGAGTCTGGTTCTGCTGAAGGTTTCTTCCTGTTAAAAGGGAGTTTTTTACTCTCCACTGTCGCTACAAGCATGCTTAGTGTGCGAGATTGCCTTTGAGTCAATGAGTCGATGCAATCAGCTGGTTTTCCTTAGATAGAAAACTGAACCATTTTGACTGTATGATCTTGTTGAATTGTCTCTGTAAAATGCCTTAAGATGACGCATGTTGTGAATAGGTCCTATATAAATAAACTGAATTGAATTATGGGGTATCTGTAGAGAGCGTCTGCGGACACACAGCATCGAGTCCTCCGGAAAGCTGAAGATCTCCCCAGAGCAGCACTGCGACTTCACCGCAGAAGACCTGCGGGACCTTGGGGAGATCGGCCGCGGGGCCTACGGCTCCGTCAACAAGATGGTCCATAAACCTACAGGCCAGATTATGGCAGTCAAGGTGACAACATTTCCAAAGAATGTGAAGAAGATCCCAAGTGATGTGATCTGGTATGACTGACCGTGGGAGGAATATTTCCCTGTTGTTCCTCAGAGGATTCGCTCCACTGTGGATGAGAAGGAGCAGAAGCAGCTGCTGATGGATCTGGACGTGGTGATGAGGAGTAGCGACTGTCCCTACATCGTCCAGTTCTATGGCGCCCTCTTCAGAGAGGTCTAGAAAACCCACCTAGATCTCCATCAAATAGACTCCAATGTGTTTTTGTTTCCTACTAATTGAATTTCTCTATTTGTTTCAGGGGGACTGTTGGATCTGTATGGAGCTAATGTCTACCTCATTAGACAAATTCTACAAATATGTATATTGCGTATTAGATGATGTCATTCCAGAGGAAATATTAGGCAATATAACATTAGCTGTAAGCAAACATTTTCTTCTAACTTAAAAGACGATTTATGAAGCGTCTCTAAACGACCTGAAGGTTTAATTTAGCGTCTTTCTTACAGACGGTTAAAGCACTGAATCACTTAAAGGAAAACTTGAAAATAATTCACAGAGGTAAGAGTTTTAGTTGATTTTTTTTTTTTTTCGCAGATTGTGGTTTATTTGTTGTGTAATTGTTACCATTTTATGGTCTCTTTCCAGACATCAAACCTTCCAACATTCTGATGGACAGAAGGGGAAACATCAAACTATGTGACTTCGGCATCAGCGGCCAGCTGGTGGATTCCATAGCCAAGACTAGAGACGCAGGCTGCAGGCCTTACATGGCAGTAAGTGTTCATTAGCTGTTTGCATTCAATCTGTTTATTCTGCATTACTTTGGTTTTTAAAGAAAAAGGGCGGTCAGCATCGAATGATTAGTGGATCTTTATTTATGCCTAAAAAACGTTAATTAAAAAAACAAAAACAAAAAAAATACACTATCATGGTACTGGTTCATCAGTAGGTCTCGACGTTGTTCAGTTCTGGCTCGGTTTTCAGATAATAAAGAGCGCATGAGGAGACTGTGTCATCTCCTTACAGTCAGCCTCCGTAATAAGGAAACTTCTGGCATTCTTAAAAATATTAGCTTCCCTACTGTGCCGCACGATTTCCAGTAATAATTCTGCTTAGCAGTGTTATGAACCTCAACGTCTCTCATTGTTTCCTGCGTCTGTAATCCTTGATTAAGGGCTGGTTATCCTCCTGCAGCTGCTGTGTCACAGTTAGCTTGTCACAGATATTTTTAGATTTATCCTCAATATTGAAGCTTGGTCTGCGCTATGTTATTCCCCGCCACAACGCAAGAGGGACAATCAGGAACTAGCGGTGCGTCTAGATACGGCCGAGGTGGTGAGGAAGGCGGTGTTAAAGACCTACGCTTTAGACTATCGTAGGACGTATCCAACTCCCAAAAACCGAATCCACCAAAGGCTGCCTTCTTCACCTTACTCTCTGCAAACAAGGAAATATCACAAAAAACAACCAAACTTCCTGAATGTTACGGGCGCTGCCATGTTGATTTGCTTGTTTGAGAGCAGTAGTACCGTAGATCTACTAGGAGGCAAGAAACCAGCTCGGTACGGTTCGGTTTTCAGAGGGTAGTGTAAATAGGGCTTTTATTCCACCAAGTTGACTAGACTGAACTTTTTCAAGCTTATTCACTCTTTTATCTCACCCACTTCTTTTAAAATCACTTTAATCTAATCTTTCAAGATGGAAAAACTTATAGGATAGGATAGAACAGCTTCTACTCATTGCCTGTTTAACATTTAGCCTACTGTAAAGCACGGTGGTGGTTATCATCATGCTGCAGGAGGCGAGCAACTCGTTTGCATTCAAGATAATGTCATAAAAATATAGAGGGATGCTTTGAGACTTCTATGAAAACTGTGGCCTCAGGCAAACAAGGTAACAACTAGTCCTTACAGGAGCAACATGTTAACCAACGAGCCAAAGCCTGAGGACTTCAATCCACTAAAACTGACGCTGGCTGAGCTTCAGTGGAGAATAAAGCTTTTTCACACACTAACAAGAAGACCAGAGTCTGTGGCGGATTCAACAAAATATTAAGCCATGTCTGTAAATAGACGCCTTTTCTGTGTTTCGTTTTGTTTTTTAAAAGGGAAAAAACATCCAAAGCCTGTTTTCACTTCCTTATTGTGAGCTTGTGTTTTCAGAGACGTTTACAGTCGAATTCATGTTGAACAAAATGGAGATTTATGGACTGTGGTAAAAGTGAAGAGGTGTGAATACTTTGTGTTTTTCACATAATAAAAGAAATATCAGTGTCTCTTTTGGCTTCATTATCTTTTGAAATTTATTTCTCAAGCAATGATTTTTGTAAAAGAACAAGTTCTGCTGCGAGCCGCCAGAATTGAAAGAGTTTTTTTGATCGGTTTTGAAACAAAAAAACTGACGAAAGTCCATTTGCCTTCTAGTCTGAGCCTGTTCTGTGGTGATATGACTGCAGATTTGAATTCTGCCTGTTTTGGACAGCAGAAACCAGAAGCTGAACTCAGAACTTGACTATAATTCATTGATCAAAAAAACAAAAACACAAAGTTTCCCCCAAAAAACAATGGAAGAGGATGGAAATGGAAATAAAAAAGTTAACTGATTTTAAAATTTTATTTCTGGATAATATGAGAAAAAAAAATCATAATTCTGAGAAAAAACGTCTCAGAATTCAGAATTTAATCTCAGAATTCTAACTTTAAACTCTGAAATCTCTGTAAAAAGTCACTAAATTGCATCATTTTCCACCAATGTATTACTGGCCCTCCCAAACAACTCACATCTTCAGTGAAGCTGAGTGCTCCCATATTTCTTCCCTCATTGTGCCCATCTACATTAAGATCCAAAATTCTGAAATTAAAGTCAGAATTCTGACTTTTTTCCCATATTAAACATAAATAATATTTAAATATAAGTTAACTTTTTTCTATTTTTTCAGTGGCCCTATGCCTCTTCCATAAAAAACAGTAAATAATAGTCTAGAATTGAAAATCCCTTTATTGTACCACAATGGGGAAACGATGGTGTTACAGCAGCAGCAAAAGATTATAGCAAAAATGGCCACAGAGATGTGGACCTTTAAAAAAAAAGGTGTATAATTGACCGAATAAGTGACAGAGTTAAGAAAATAAAGAAATAGAATACTGTACTGTAAAGTGTTTTTTACTATATTAAAAAATTGTATCTGGAGAATAAATAATCAATAAACAGCTGTGGAGATTTAAGCAAGAAGCAGCATGAATATAACAATTTATTGAGGTTATTGGGAACTGATGGTTTTAGAGTCTTACAGAAGAAGGAGAAATAAAAAGAAAATGCATTAAAAATAGTTATTTTTCAGAGTTTTTATGATCAGAATTATAAAAAAATAAAAGGTTTTCTTTACTAAAAAAAACTCTGAAATCCAGGATAAAGGATCAAATCTGCACATTTAAATAAAAACGCTCTTTCTGTGCGGAAAACCCAGATTGTTTGTGGTCATTATTTACAATTGTAGAAAAATTATTTAAAGTTTAGGATCAACCTGCTATTAATTAGTTTGGGGGGGAAAAAGTATGACAAATTAGCAAAGAAAACGGCGCCGTCTAATTTATAGTTTGGGGAATATAGTGGAATAATTTTTTGGTTTTATTTTCAGCCTGAAAGGATAGACCCCAGTGCTTCCAGGCAGGGATACGACGTTCGCTCTGACGTTTGGAGCTTGGGAATCACCCTGGTAACCAATAAAACCTCCAGATTCAATTATTTTTATTCTACTATTGAGGAAGTAATGGTTGTCGATAAGTAAACCTTGTTTGTTTGTGTTCCCAGTATGAGCTAGCTACAGGAAGATTTCCTTACCCCAAGTGGAACAGTGTTTTTGATCAGCTGACACAGGTGGTGAAAGGAGAGCCTCCACAGCTCAGCAACTCGGAGGAGAGGCAGTTCTCCCCAAAGTTCATCAACTTTGTTAACCTATGGTAGGTGTCGCTATAGGAAAGTAGATGCTGATGATTCCAGGAACAGATTTTCCCCCTAAACTTCCTCACATTTTCTTTCTCACTTTTCTTTTTTGCATCCAAAATCCGTCCTGAGCTTTGTTTACTGCGATATGTAATCAGCTCTGTTTTTTTTTTCTTATGCAGCCTTACAAAAGATGAATCAAAGAGGCCAAAGTACAGAGAGCTTCTGGTAAGACACCTCTCATAAGATCTGTTTGTTCAAGGGCTCAATAAGAAAGCAATTTTATCTCTGCAAAAAACAAATCTGCTCAGCATTTTGCTTATAAAGTTTAGCTAAATATCTCATAAATATCAAAATATCTACATATATGTGAAAGCACATCAGATCTGTTCAGAGTAAAGGTAAAAATACTAAAAAGATTATGTAAAATTTTAGGAGGAAGCAGAAATCGTTTCAGTCTGAAATTGAAGCAAAAATGTCTTTATCGGTTTATTCGATTTGAAATGCATCAAAAGAGCATAATTACTACCCTTATTCCGGTAAACATTTAAACATACTGGTTGTCTTTTTTTCGTGGAGCCGCCAGCCTGTAAAACAGCAGCTCAACACAACCGCCTGGATAACTATCTGCTTAGATAATGCTTTTTGAAATTATGTATTCCAATCACAAACAAACCTACGACCTCTGAGATCTCCTGCTAATGCTAACATTTTATCCAAACTCCAACATAACCTTAAAGGTACAGTGGGGGATGTTTTCTTTTGTTGGTGGATCATCAAAATAAGTGGTCCTTATATCATTCAGGTGATATGTTTACGTAAAAAAAAATTGCAAATATTATTTTTGGAAAGTAAGCTTGTATGAGCGATGCAAACAGCAACTTTTAAACAGAGCGTGCACGAGCCCATTTCTCCTCGTGCACGTTCTCGTACATTTTTAAAAGGCGTTCCCTTTCGGGAACAGGTACAGGGTTGGGCATGTGCATTTGATTTTTTTTTTTATTCACCATAATCCTCCACTATACCATTAAAGACAACCCACACCATAGTTCACTTTTTTCAAATAAAAATGGAAATATAGAAAATCAAACTAATTTTCTTTTTATGCACCTCTAATACAAATTTAAAATGTATTCTTGATCAAAATCTTTATTGGAAATAAAATAAAGATGCCTTTTTTTGTCTCTTCTTGTTGTTGATTCTAAGCTTATCTTTACCACCACCTGCTGGCACAACATAAGTATTACATCATTTCTAATTGGAATCCCACAGTGCAGAAAGGATATTTTATTTAGTTTTCTTTTAAAATCTGATGTAGCTGTATATTAGATTCAATTTAAATAGCTTTCTAAAATTGATGGTACAAAATTTAACTTAAAGCTTCCTCCATCTTCTCCCCAGAAACACCCGTTTATCCTGATGTACGAGGAGCGCTTCGTGGATGTTGCCAGCTACGTGTGTCGCATCCTGGATCAGATCCCGGCTTCGCCCATCTCTCCTATGTACGTTGACTGATGCCAAGAAGGGTCTGCCAGTGTTGGCCCCCTTAACGGGCAGCGGGTGGTACACTAAGCTTTGTGATGCAACGTTTGTCATCTTAGCCTTCAGTTACGTAGGATCACCTGTTTGTCCACATATTCCCAAAGAAGAGAGGAATTAAATCCAAACTTCCCAGAGCAAAGAGATGAACATCAAAAGAGAAAACTTCCAGACTTATTTTAAGATCCCAAAATATATCATCTTAAAGCAGAAAAACTTGAAGCGGTAACTTTGTCTTAGTAAAGCGCAATGCATCTTTTTATGTGACACAAAGAATAGAGTATACATACATACATGGAATATATATAAATATATATAAATATATATATATACTTGAACTTGTTCACAAAAGTCTACCAAATGAAATTATGTGGAGTTTATGATGTATGACAATAGAACCTAATGGGTTGTATATTGTATGCATATTTGTCTTTGCCTCTAAAATGATGACTTGTTTAGATTATTGCTGATAGACCTACTGTCTAAAATCATTTACACTTTCACACGGGTTGCTGTGAGCGCCTTCACACGCAGTAAATGAATGGGTATGCAATTTCTTTTTCAGAAAGCTTCTGGTAGCCTGGCTTAACTGTTTCCTTTTNTTTGAAATTATGTATTCCAATCACAAACAAACCTACGACCTCTGAGATCTCCTGCTAATGCTAACATTTTATCCAAACTCCAACATAACCTTAAAGGTACAGTGGGGGATGTTTTCTTTTGTTGGTGGATCATCAAATTAAGTGGTCCTCCTAATTTTCAATCATTCAGGTGATATGTTTACGTAAAAAAAAATTGCAAATATTATTTTTGGAAAGTAAGCTTGTATGAGCGATGCAAACAGCAACTTTTAAACAGAGCGTGCGTGCACGAGGAGAAATGGGCTCGTGCACGCTCTCTTACACGTTTAAAAGGCGTTCCCTTTCGGGAACAGGTACAGGGTTGGGCATGTGCATTTGATTTTTTTTTTTATTCACCATAATCCTCCACTATACCATTAAAGACAACCCACACCATAGTTCACTTTTTTCAAATAAAAATGGAAATATAGAAAATCAAACTAATTTTCTTTTTATGCACCTCTAATACAAATTTAAAATGTATTCTTGATCAAAATCTTTATTGGAAATAAAATAAAGATGCCTTTTTTTGTCTCTTCTTGTTGTTGATTCTAAGCTTATCTTTACCACCACCTGCTGGCACAACATAAGTATTACATCATTTCTAATTGGAATCCCACAGTGCAGAAAGGATATTTTATTTAGTTTTCTTTTAAAATCTGATGTAGCTGTATATTAGATTCAATTTAAATAGCTTTCTAAAATTGATGGTACAAAATTTAACTTAAAGCTTCCTCCATCTTCTCCCCAGAAACACCCGTTTATCCTGATGTACGAGGAGCGCTTCGTGGATGTTGCCAGCTACGTGTGTCGCATCCTGGATCAGATCCCGGCTTCGCCCATCTCTCCTATGTACGTTGACTGATGCCAAGAAGGGTCTGCCAGTGTTGGCCCCCTTAACGGGCAGCGGGTGGTACACTAAGCTTTGTGATGCAACGTTTGTCATCTTAGCCTTCAGTTACGTAGGATCACCTGTTTGTCCACATATTCCCAAAGAAGAGAGGAATTAAATCCAAACTTCCCAGAGCAAAGAGATGAACATCAAAAGAGAAAACTTCCAGACTTATTTTAAGATCCCAAAATATATCATCTTAAAGCAGAAAAACTTGAAGCGGTAACTTTGTCTTAGTAAAGCGCAATGCATCTTTTTATGTGACACAAAGAATAGAGTATACATACATACATGGAATATATATAAATATATATAAATATATATATATACTTGAACTTGTTCACAAAAGTCTACCAAATGAAATTATGTGGAGTTTATGATGTATGACAATAGAACCTAATGGGTTGTATATTGTATGCATATTTGTCTTTGCCTCTAAAATGATGACTTGTTTAGATTATTGCTGATAGACCTACTGTCTAAAATCATTTACACTTTCACACGGGTTGCTGTGAGCGCCTTCACACGCAGTAAATGAATGGGTATGCAATTTCTTTTTCAGAAAGCTTCTGGTAGCCTGGCTTAACTGTTTCCTTTTTTTTTGTTATACTTCCTAATATGCAATCCTAGACGGTTTGTCGCAGTACATCATCTGATCCCAGCTACTGCAGTGCGGCCCTCAGCTTCTGGGCTTTGACCCGTTTTGAGTCGCATAACTATGTACACACTTTCCAGGTCATTTTTGTCTGTTGATGCTAATCGCTCAAAACCAATTCTGCACAATGAGCTAAGCTGTTAGCTTTTAGCAAAGAAATGCCAAAAATAATATTGTTTTACAAAAAAAATCAACCAAAAAGCTAATGATGAAGTCCTTTGTTAATCGACACACCTAAACTTGTTGCTAAAAACTATATTTTTATTTTTAACTCCCCCCAACTAAACGTTGACACGACATGAATTTCTGAGGTTTGTTACATAATAAACTTTTGTTTGGGTATTTGGTTTATATGATTTTTTTGTTTTGTTTAGTTTGTTCTACCCTGTGGTTTTTATTTTAACCAAAGCTTAAATTTGACCCTCCAGCACATTGAAAACTAAATGTATTACAGTACCAAATATAAAAAAAAGGGGTTAATTTGATTTGTTTCAACCATTTGGACACAAATGGATAATAACTAAACCTAGTATAAACCGAGTATATTGGCTTTCCAATTAGGGATGCAAATGATGATTATTTTTCTAATCAGTTATCTGAATAATAATCTGATAGCAAATGCTAAAGACTATTTAAAAAAAATTATAATTAAACCAGATTAAACTAAATCTTTTCCACCTGAGGAGTTCTGAGAAAAAAGTTTTTTTTTTTTTTTTTTTTTTTTTTATATTGAGGGCTAGAGGGCTTTGGTATAATTACTGCTCTAAGTGGGTCTCTCTGTCAGCTAAAAGCATCTAATCTCCAGTTAACAATTAATAGATTATTAAATAATTTGATGATTATTTCAATAACCTATTAATGCAATAAATTGTTTCAGTGCTATTTCCANCTGTCAGCTAAAAGCATCTTTTAGAGTCTAATCGTCAGTTAACAATTAATAGCTTATTAAATAATTTGATGATTATTTCAATAACCTATTAATGCAATAAATTGTTTCAGTGCTATTTCCAATGTTTCATTACACAATTTATTTCTTAAACAAACAACATTTTTGATTTAATGTGGACTTGTTTGTTATAACACCACTGACATATTTGATCTAAGGAACTTCAATTCATTAAGCAATTCTGACAACAGATTAAAACCCAACAAAGTAGAAAAATTGGTTTATTGAGTTCTTCTACATTACATAATTTAAATTAAAATGTAAAATAATCAGCACTAAGAAGACTTTTCTTTATTTTGTTGCCGCCAGCTAACGGACAAATTTGCAAGAGTCTGGTTGCAGACCTGCACTGTCAGGGCCTAGATCTGCAAAATGGGGTCTCCTGTACTGTTGTTTCCAGAAGTTTACTCCGGAAGTTGAATTTGAAGCCTTTGGGAATTAAGGTTTATGGCAGTGTTAACCTGAGCATAGCAGCAGTTTAAATTACACAGTAAGCAAAAATTCTCAGAGGACCGCCAACCTGGATTGTTGTTTAGAAAATATCTTATAGACCAAATGCTCTTTTCAATCCAGCAATCGATATACAGAGACTTATTTCTATGTAGCACATATCTATTATTTCAGATAAAATTTTAATGGGGGTGTAAAATTGTGCGTGTACGTAAGTTTCCAGCATAACAAAACATGTTACTAGTATTGCGCCGATGCCATTTTTGGCCCCGATACCCAATACCTGGCTGTGCAGTGTTGGCAGATACCAATGTCATCTGTCTTAAATTGATGTGTAAGTGTATATATGAAGAACTGCATACTACCTGGATGTAAAATAATTGCCATCATGGATTTATCAAGCTGCTGCCTACCTTTGTGAAGCAGGACAAAGACTAATACAAAGTGAATCCAGTAGAACTTCTGGAGTGGGTGACAATAGTTGAATAAACTTTTGGCTCTCAAAATGGTATCGGTGCCCTATTTGTTGGTACTCGCCGATATCGATACCACCATTTTAGTGCTGGATCGGGGCCCTGCCCGTTACTGGTATCGGTGCAACATTACTTGTTAGCGAAAGAAAGCTAGCTTCATGTGGAGTTTATCAATGCAAGCTTTTACTTTAGAAAGGCTTCAAATCAACTTTGCTTTTACTTTGAAAGTCATCAAACAAACTTCCGATCCTGTCAGAGCAGGATACCTCACAGTTCAGCTCTGCAGCCAGGGTCCTGAGAGTGCAGATCTGGGTCCCGCCAGTGCGGCTCGGGGTCCCGCCAGTGCGGCTCTGGGTCCCGCCAGTGCTGCTCTGGGTCCCGCCAGTGCTGCTCTGGGTCCCGCCAGTGCTGCTCGGGGTCCCGCCAGTGCGGCTCTGGGTCCCGCCAGTGCTGCTCTGGGTCCCGCCAGGG